AGTCCGTTCTATATCATGTAAACATCATTGTGTGTTTCAGCCATATCAGCCTTGTAAGGTGATACTGTTAATGTTCACTGCTCTTTCTGCTTGTCAGATTTTTACATCTTCTGGAGAATTTTCCAGTCACATGTTGACCTAAAACAACTTCTGTCATCAGTGTAGGTAAACCAGCTTAAGTAACTCTCCACTGTCTCTGCAGCTCTCTACTTCAACGTCCAGATTTCCAACGACCTGCCGGCGCTGGCCAAGCCCGACCCGTACGCAACCCTCTCACCCCAACCCCTCTTCAGTCCTGCTGCCATGGCAACCAACCCCGCCAACATGGCCGCTCAGAACGCCAATCCTTCCCAACCCACCAACTCCATCACAGTTTGGCTCCACTGTCCCTGAAAGCATCCTTAAGAGACGATGGACACACTGTTCTGGTGTTTTTCTGCTTTCGCACAAACACAAAAATCTACTTCGTACATGTCTGCTGAGCAATAAGTAGTGATTTAGTGTTTTTCTTTATGCATTCGTATCAGATTTTTTAAATTCCTAAATCACTCATTTGAACTGTCCCAACCTCCATTTTGCTGCACACCACAGCAGCTTTTAAAGACATCAAGTGATTTTTTCATGGTTCATATCTCACGGCTGGACTGTGGGGAGAACTGATTTAAAGAATAGGACGTTTATGAAACTCAAAATGACCTGGAATGGTTTTTGTAAGTCCTTGATTTTGTAGAAAGTGTCTTCCATTACAATGTCCAGATCTGTAAATCACACTGTGGTAGGTAAGTTAGTTTAATTGTGATCTACTTCACAATTGGGAAACCAAAGAAAAAAAATCATATTTAAATTCATATCCCACTTTCCATTGTGTCAAAATATGGAAGCAAGATACGCTGAAAATGTCACGTCCTTGTTATATTAAAGCTCTACAGTAGCCACACTGCCCCCAGACTATTAGAAAACACATGACACCGCTGCTACTCAATATTCCACTTTATTATTAAAACATGTGTATTAACAGCTGACAGAACAAAACTAAAAATTACAAAACCTGAACTCCTCGCATTAGAACAAAACAAAAATTACAAAACTAAAACAGTGTGACCTTTCATATCTCAGAAGCGCTCACATACAAAGCTGTCAGATTTAACCTGTAATAGTGTGATTATTGATTTTTGTTTGATTTACTGATGCACTGAATTTGAAATCTAAGCATTGATTCTTAATGTCCTAACGGTGACATCTCCGTCAGGCGATGCCTCCTCTGCCCATGGCTCCTCCTCTTTCTCCTCGAGACAGAGTTGCTGAAAAAAAAATACGGAGAAACACGAGGAGAAAGCAGTTTAGAATTAATGACTGAGGTTATCAGTTTGATCCCACATTGTGACTGTTGGAGTCTCCATGTCTGATGCTGCTCTCTGCTTATTGCACTTCAATAAACTGCTTCATCATTACAATCTGAATGCCTGGAGTTTGTTTGCAAAATTATCAGTGATTATGCAGCAGAGGTTAAATTCAGCACTGATGGTAAATCCTGTTTCTTACGTCTAAATGTCCTGGTTTCCCCTCTTCCTCCTCTGGTTCCCTGACTCGACATCAGAGGCTGACTGGGCAAAGTGCGACGCAGAGTAATGGTGCTCGTGTCTGCAAATAAAGCCAGAGAACGGATGTCAAACATTCAGGGAGCAGAAACACACAGGGCGGATTGCACATAAGACCAGAGGAAACCACCTTTAGCTCTGATGGATGGAGCAGAGGTTCTGTGGCTAAATCAGAAATGTGTCAAAACTTTCTCACATTAGCCATATGGAGAAAATTTGCTGTGTTTGTGAAGAAGAAAGTTTTGTGTTAGGGCTTTATTGTTTTTGGACAAAATACACCACAATATACTAATTTGAGGCCGAGGAACTACAGGTCCTTTCAGAACCTCTGTTTTTGCAATTCCATCCATTATTTTACCGTATAAGGAGGCAATAAGCAACTCCTACATGTCTGATTTTATTTTTTGTAGGCTAGTCACTTTACAAAAGAGCATCCAAGACAATGTACAGCATAGAAATATAAATGTGCTCATCAAGTTTTTTGGTTTAGATCCTATGCATCAACGCCAAAATCGGGCAGCAGGTTAGGAAGGCATGTTATCTTTGAGGGGGAAATGAACAAAACAAAAAACCCTACACTTACACTGTTTATCAAAGCCAGAAACTGCAAGAACAGAATCCTTCAAGTTTCCACTTTCTGACAATATCAAAGAGTGACATAATTTTCAAAAAAGATGAGAATATCAGTTAGTAAACTTACCGGGGTCTTGGCTGGTAGACGGCAGTGATGCATCATCACTCTGCTGTCCAGCTGATTCCATGTCTGTCTGACTCTCCAGAGAAGATTCAATACCAGGGCTGGAAACACACACACAGAGTTAGAGGAGCCTCCTTCTCAGTTTCAGGCTTAAAATAAGTTAGAAATAAAAATACATTTTCCAAGTTGCAAATCTGTTTCACTGTGCAAATTTTTATTGTATCTTTTGTTGCATGCAAAAAACAACAACAACAACAACTAACAGAAAATGTATCAAAATGCCTTTCTGTCTGCTTCTGGTTAAAGAGACATTTTTTTGGATGTCTTCCTGCACATGGGGGCAGTTACTTGTCACTACAAGTGACTTGAGATGACCAGCTAACTCTGCTAAACATACATAGCCACACTCGACTATTAGTTTGTGGGGATTTTTATAGAGTTACTGTGTTTTACTACCACATGGGACTTCTTGTTCAGATTGCTCTGAGAAGAATTTGTTTTCACTTTATAATCAAAAACTAACATAAATATCAAAACTCAGGCCTGACTGAGCTGCTCACCCTTCTCCCTCCTGCTCCATGAAGACCTCGTCTCCATCGTCTGCTGCTGCAGCCATCCCAGTGGAGGCAGTTACCATGGGAACTGACTGGGAGGCCATGTTGTCAGTGCTGTCTGAGGGCAGGGACTCGGTGAAGACTGTCACTGAGAGAGACAGAGAGTCAGCAAACACCATCCAGCATTTATTGCTACAACAAAATTGCTGTGTGCCGACTGAGGTTTTGTTGTATGTGTGTTTTTCTCACCTGGTGCTGCCACTTGTAAAGGTGTGGTGGGGACACTCCTTCCTCCTCCGTCTTCATCGTGAGCAGCAAGGAACAGAGGAGACTCGTACATACCCAGACCTACACAGAAGGTCGCAGATTTAGACGATGTACAAATAGGAAACAGTTTGATGTAAGTTAGACTTCATAAGTTAGACATCAGCCTGTGTGTGTGTGTTGTACCTCCTTGAGAGGCCAGTTGTCCCAGGTCAGAGTGTGAGGCTGACGTCTGAGGCAGCAGGTCTTCTGGAGGTCCGAACCTGAACCTGGTAGACAAACCTGCTACCTGAGGAGAGCTGAGGAGATCAAACATAGACATGATAGAGTCACACTTCTGACTTGACGACGTGGTGAATCATTCAATCAGAAATATTTTAGTTAAATGGTTAGTGCTACTGAGAGATTTTTCCACATTTGTCTGTTCACTGTCTGTTACCACAAACACTTGTTTATGTTCTGGTGGTTCTACTGTAGACTCATCATAAGATTATAGACTCAGCCACAGTGGTTCTGTTTTAAACTAGACAGGATCAAAACTTTTTCCATGAATCAGGGGAATTCAAAAAATATTGCAAGTGAACCAAACAGTAGTTTAGAAAATGAAATCCCCGTCACCCTTCTAGGACTTTATGCCTTAATACATCCACTGAGCTGCAGAGACGACTGGCTGTGACATGATCTGCAAAATATATTCTGCTGAACGCTGCCGTGGTAACCTGATGGAAAATTCTTTCACATAAAATCAAGCAGAGCTGTTTTATCCATGATGTAATGTGCCTTCAGTGATCGCTTGATGAGCTGGATGCTTTGGTGTGACTGAAACACAACACAGTCTTAGTGTGTGGATCTTACTGTATAGCCTCAGCGAAGCCATCGGTGCGGTGTGGGACGACCAGAGTGGGAGTACTGGGAACCATTCTGTCATCGTCATCAAAGAACGGATGCTGCTACAAACAAACACTCAAAGTCAACTACCTCATGTTGTTATCACACACGCAACCTGGTTTAGACCAGCAATGCAAGAAACAAAGTATGATCAACCATCAAGTCCAGCATATACACTAAGTACACAGACATTTCTTACCCCACCACTGATTCCAGGGGTTAACTGTGGTCCGCGGCCCGCTGATGGTCTCCGCAGCTGAGACTGTCTCTGATCAACAGGAACACATCAGAAATATCAGAGTTCATTCATTCAGGGACTTTCTTCCCTCTCTTTGCTTAAATGTCATTGTGCTACTATTCAGTTTTTTGGTTCTTAGAGAACTCTGGAGGTGACACAGTGGGGAAACAATAAATGATAGTTTGCCCATGAATGAATAATTCTCCTGCAAGACGGGCTTAATTGATGCAATTGTTGATTGCTGACCTCCGAGAGTGACTCAAATTTCAAACTCTTTGGAGCATGCTGTATGACATTACGAACTGTGAAAAGTTGTGTCCAGTATAGGTACAGACATTAATGCATACAATAATGCTGCCACGTCAAATATTATGAGTGAGAAAATTGACAGGAGAAAAAAGTAATAATTTTGATTACAATTCTGGTCAGGTTAGACTGTAAAACTGATTCAAACAAGTTTTTACTTTGTGTCTGCTTCACCTTCACTCTAACTGTAATAGCTGCACTCAGTAAGTTGGTCCTGATGAAACCTTGTCCTTAACCTGCTCCTGATGACTGGGCTCAGTCTAACTTTTGATATAATATATTTTACTGTGTTTGGTGAAGCTGTAAAAAAAATAAATAAATAGGAGCATGAAGAAAATGTTGTTTTTTGTTACCTGTGTGTGTGGCGGTCCGAGCTCAGGAGCTGGAGGTTGGATGTAGAGCCGCGGTGGGAGGACAGGTGGGGGCCGACGAGTGAGGGTGGACGAGGAAGGGGAGGGTCCAGAAGAAGAGGAAGAGGCTGGGGGGAGGTGTAAAGGGACTCTGGGGGGGTCGGACTCTGACGTGACACCACTGCTGCTTTCACCTGGAAGAAATGAGTCACATTGGCTGATTTCAATAAGGGCTAATTTATGCTTTCTGCATCCAAACCAACAGGGTGCTACTCATATTACAACAGGCACATGTCGGTCCGCTAGGTGGACGTCGTGTTGACTCTCATATTGAACACAGACACAAAAAACCCAACACATACATAGAGATATAGCAGCTGATTATAGACTACGCCTAGTCTGTGTGATTATTCTAAAGATGTGCCGAGCACTGTGGACGTAGCACGGGATATCGGGGGAACTGAGAATTTCCTGCTGTGTTTGGGCTCCACCAAAGGAAAGCATGTATGAATTAAAGCACCTCCAAAGTCAAGCAGCGACTCCTTCAATCACAACTCTTTTAAAGATGAATTATAAAAGGTGTGGATGATGGAGAGTCACCTCACACAGCTTTTCCTCAGAACAAACATTTGTTTTAAGCACCTGGCACATGCGCAGTAGGCATGACTAATTACGTCACATGTATCCTTGTAGGTGTGGAAAGCAGCATAAACTGTCCAAAGCAATCTGTGACGTCAGTCCACGGTGTTGAGTTCCTGCTCACCGCTGTGTGTCGGCTCAGAGAGACGCTGGGAGCCTGAAGACGCTCCGCAAACGTTCTCCTCAGCGTTGTTGCCTTCTGACGGCTCCTCGTCTTCTCCGTCCTCCTCAGCTTCTCTGCTCTCCTCGTTGCTCTCATCGCCTCCCCGCATCCCGCTGTCGGCAGCATCGTCATCGTCTTCATCATCCTCCTCTTCTTCCTTGTACTGAGATAAACAGAGAAAGCTTGAGAGTTAACACCTGACAACAGACCAAAGCTCAAAACATTCTGACAAGTTTGTAACCCAGCAGCAGCACCTCCTCCTCCTCTTCTTCTTCCTCTTCATCCTCTTCCTCTTCCTCCTCCTCCTCTTCTTCCTCCTCCTCTTGGCCCTCCTGCCTCTCCTCCCCTTCTTTGCTCTCACGGCTCTCGCTGTCTGTGTCGATCACGATCACGTCCCGAACTATAGCGGAGCCCTGAGAGGACATCTGATCGGAGGGCACTGACTGGGACACGCCCTCGTCCTCGATGTCCTCGCTGTCTTCAGTTAAGGCAGGAAAACCCTCTTCTGGGAGCTCCTATACCAAAAACACAACAATCATGAAGACGGGTCATATCATGCACATGCTTGCATTCTGGAGTTTGACTGGGATGCATTTGCAAGATTTACGGTTAAAAAAATAATCATTATTTATCATGTTCTTTATGCAGCACTTCAGTTCAACCAGCATTATCTTGTCTCTTTAATACAGACTCCTACTCGCATCATCAGCTCAGTTTTAACTCACATGTCAACCTATGAAATACACATTTGAGCCAAACACCAACAATCGTCTGAACAACCTCAGCAACAGAACAGACGACTGTTAGCGGGCGTCCGCAAATGGTGTCAATTCAAACCAAACAGCAGCAGCACTACACAAATTGGTATTCTTTTATCCAATGTTTACTTTTTTCTGAAATAGTGGATCGTTTTTACTCTTTAGGAATTAAACATGTATTAAAAAGAGACAACATGAAAAATTCAGAAGCCAAAATTTGTCAAAGAGGCAGAGAAGCACCACCTCACTCTGTGGAAGCAAACTGCATATCTTGTTTAGGAGTACTTTGATCACAACGTGTTGGACTTCAGGAAACTGTCAAAGGCATTACTCACTAGTCCACAATATTTGATCTGCAAAAGAACTGATTCATCAGGAAAGTAACTGTCCGCTTAAATGGTAGAGAAAATAATTCTTAGGTGCAGCTAAAATCCTATTTTTGATGACACGTAACAGAGGAAAGCACCAGGTTTTTACGCTTGAGAAGCCGCAACCAGAGTCTTACATCATTAATTACTGTTTTTGAGTCGTTTTCTGTCCGTCAACAAGCTGACTCATAATCTGACTCTTTGTTTCCTCTACAAGACTGGACACCGTTTCTAAATGGGCACTTTTAGATGACAAACCATAAACTGCAGGACCGTATGTTAGAGGACAGTTCATTGTAGCAGCCCCTCTGTGGCCACTGAAGTGCAGCAAAATCATGAAGCCTAACTGGATTCACAGAAAAATCTCTGTTGTCAAAAGTCAATTCTAGTCAACCATACATTCAGAAACAGGATATTCTTTTTTCAACAATTGGCTAAGAACAAAAAATGTTTTCTCAATTCTCTGCACTGTTAGTTCCATCGATAACTGACCTGACTGTCATCTGGTGAATCCTGTTGTTGTCCTTCGTCTCCGTCGATCTCCTCATCACCTTCCATCTGAAACACACCGAATAACACAGCAGGAATTAAAGATTACTTTTGTGCCAACTGTTTGAGGTTTTAATCTGTAACAGTGGAGCTTTGTTACAGTCAGGAAGAGACGCACATCAGCTTGGGTTTTTGACATATGGAGAGTCACATCTTTTATGGCTCTAAATACAACATACCACACTCCCTATAGCCAGCTGTACACAACAGGCTAATTTCCCTTCTCTCTATATGTTGTGACATGTTTAATTATATCCGCTGATGGACAGGGACACCACAGCAAAAGTCTAAATTGATTTATTCAATGCATATCTGATGAGAAACTCTAAATTCGGGGTAATTTAGCGCTACTTATTTACCAACACTGCACTCCAAAATAGATGTTTTCTTTAATCCTGCATAAGCTCCGAAAACAAAATTAAAACGGCGTGAGTGAAGAATGCAATTTGGTTCACGCTTGTCTCAGGGTTTTTGTATGTTTGTGTTTACCTGCAGTTCTATAGTTGGTTTAAGCCGTAGTTTTTTTGTGGTCGGGGGTGTGTGGGAACTCTCTGGTCTGCTCTCCTCATCCTCCTCCTCTTCCTCTCTGCTTCTCTTTGAACCTGCTGTAGTCGTGATCAAAAAACAGGACATCAGTTACCATCGCTTTGGTGCATCCCGTCAGGCAATTACAGTGAATGAAGTTAGAAAGAAGCTTGGGCTGAAAATCTTTGCTGTAATAACCGTCAGTGTTCACTCAGAGGGGCTTTTGGTGTGTGAGGGACAAAACAGGCCAATTTATGACACCAGTGTCTTAATTTTTTCAGTTGATGTTATAAAGTTTTAGGGGTGGGTCCTTCTCACCTGCTCCCATCAGAGAGGAGGACGTAGACGGTCGCTCTGCCTCCATGCTGGACCCTGCATCCTGACTGGCAGCCTGTTGCTGGGTGGGCTGGACAAAAGCTGTGGTCTGCGTGCTGGTTGGCTGAGTCATGGAGGACGGTGTGCTCACCAGATTGGAGCTGGTTGAGTGTACAGAAGCTCCTGCGCTCATCAGCACTGCAGAAAGAAATAAAATTCACTCCGACACATCACACATGTGATTTATTCAATACCAACAGCACATTCAGCTCCTTTAAATTTAGTAAACACTTAAAAATAATTTGCTTTCTACAACTGAGGCCTTTCATTTTCAACTTCTTTTTGTTCCTACCCTCTTGGCTATCAGTTTGTGTAGTCGGCATCACAGTGGCCGTAGGTGTTGGGATGGGGACAGTTGCCGGGGTAACCATAGGCCGGATGCTGGCGCGAGGCGTGGCCTTGCTACCAGGGGAGGGGCTTGGCTTGTTGCTAGGAGATGGAGTACTTGGAGTAGGCCGGATGTTGGCGGTAGGAGGCTCAGAGAGGCTGGAGCTGATAGAGAAACAGTGAAAAGGTATTAATACAAATATTTAATTAACAGTATTTATATGCAGGCGGTTTTGTGCTTGTTGTATGAAAATGCAAAGAACCAATTGTGAGCTTTAAAAACTCCTACCAGGTCTATTCTAATCTGGTTCTGAAGACTTAAAATTCAGAAATCTACAATCTAATCACATGCATTGACTAAAAACACAAAACGCTGTACGAACTGTCATTTAAAAACAACAACAGTTCCTGACGTCTGTGCATGGGTATGCATGTCTTCATGAGTTACCTTCCTCTGTCTTGAGCAGGACTCTTCAAAGAAATCTGTCTCTGGTCTGCAGATCTCGCCTGATCACCCACCTAAGTGCAGATAGAGGTTTGTTATACCGTCATATGATGACCAAAAAGAAAAAGAAAAAACAGGAGTGAAAATGTAATTAGAATAACTTTCAGATAATTGTGAGACATTATTTTTTGGGACACTATTTTTTTGGCCTTTATTCAATAGGAAAGTCGAGGGAGGGACAGGAAAGTGGGGGAAGGACCTGCAGGAAAGGGCTGTGAGCAGGACTCGAACCCATGACCTCTGCATCGGGGACTAACGCCCCTGAACATGGGACGCCAGCTCAACCAGCTGAGCTATCACGGCGCCCAAACAGGACACTATTTTAATCAAGTCCCAGGATTTCCTTTAAATTTGTTGTAATATTTCAAGAATAAAACTGTTAAACAAAAAAAGGTTGCTATATTTTAAAACAATATATATAATCATATTTAGAGGAAAATGCCTTAATACTTAGAGAGTAAAAGTTAAAATATTTAAAGACTTTTAGGACAAAGGTTGTAAACATTTTGAACATAGAAACTTGCTATATTTTGAACTCCTACTTCAATAAGGTCGGTTGCCTTAATCAAAGTTATGTATATATGCTTAGATTAACCATATTGTATTACATTCACATTCGGTCACAGTTCATGCTGCAACCTACTGTTTTTGCTTACTTAAAGCTTTTGTGGGATTCTTTCATTTTCAATCTTCTCTTTACTTTTATACCCAACAGTGGCCCCAATACTCGGCTGCATGATTTACACAGCAAACAGGTATCTCACTTACAGACAAGGCACAAGACAGTTACATTTCTGCATACATATGTGGGCTACTTTGGAGAATAACTCAATGATCAGTGGTCTCAGCTGCATGTACCTTTGCTCCACTCTGGTCCTGTGGTTCCTCTCTGGAGTCAGAGTGAGTTTGTGTCTCCCTCAGTTCTTTCAGCTCTCTGTCCAGCCGAAGAAGTCGTTTTTCATACTGAGACTTGAGGGCGTTCATTCTCACCTCCATCTCCTCCTTACTCTGCTTCAGTTCCTCATTCTCCTTATTGAGCTGCTCTTTAGCACCTACAGGTAACAAACTCTAGTTAAGATCCTCAACTAATGGAACAGGGTTGCTTCTTTACTTTATCAGAATGTCTTCAATTCAGAGTGTTTGTATAGACTCACTGTTAAGTTGGCTGATTTTGGTCTTGGCTCCTATAAAGACCTTTTTCGTCTTCTCCTCTTTGTCAGTCAGTTGCTGTTTGAGCTGCTCCTCTTTGCTCTTGCTCTCAGACAGCTGGAGGAAAACCGCTTTCATGATTATTTACTTTCGACTGCTGTTTTTAATTCAGCCTACAACACAGAAGACTTTTTTTTTGGACAACGCTAGTGTTGGTAGGAAACAGCCAAATCAAGCGTAAAATGTGCTGTTATTACAAATAAGTAAAACGCATGCAATGTGTCAATAAATGCAAATTCACACTCCAGCTTAAACATGTTTAGAGAAAGTATTTCCAGTTACCTCCTGCCTGAGTTTTGCCAGCTCCTCTTGCTGTGCCTGGTTAGAGTCACCAGCAGCATTAGCGTCACTGGCCTGGACAGACTGGGAACTCTGGTTCTGGCTGGCCTGCGTGGCTCGGCTAGCTTCATTAGCCTGGCTCGCTTCAGTTAGCTGCTCCTGCAGGCGCTTGATGTCTGCTTCACGTTCAACGACCGTCTAGAGGTAACGGACACATTTAGAAATAAATAAAGTAATATGAACATGAGGGAAGGATACAAAATAAAGAAAATGGGGAGCAAGAGGTACATCAAAATCAGACTTTGTAAACATGTTCTACTTAATCAAAAGCCAGAATGTGATGTTAAAGTCTGGGGTTATTAATTAGGCAAAACCTACAGAAAAACTTGTTTGTTTTACATACGTGTGTCCATTAAGTGAATAAACACTTGGCGTTTATACAAAAAGACTGAATATTATTAACGTGCAGTTTAAAAGTGTGTTGCTAACCTTCTGCAGGTTGTCCAGCTGACCTTGAAGCTCAGTCACCTGTTGGGATGGAGGCACAGAAGCAGACAATAAGTTTTAGTTTGCCATAAATATAACAAAAAAAAGACAATTAATTATAAAAACTGCAAGATTAAAACAAAAACTAAGAAACTGGGTTTCCCCCCATTAAAAAACTGTCTACTGATAACAGTCTGCACATAGACTCGCACAGCTGCAGCAGTACAGGCATTATGACTTTAACAAGCAGTTATTAAAAGGGAAAGAAAGACATGAAACATTTTATAACATTTGTGCAGCATTCATTTTTACAAAAAACATTAATGTAATTAACGTTTGCAAGTATGTCTGGGATTTGTTCAATAACAGAGTTTTTTTTAAGTGTTTCTAATGTAGGACAGAAACAATCACAAACTGTCATAGTAGTAGCAGGAACAGGTTTCCTCACCTTACTCTCTGCTTGGCTCAGAGAAGTCTTGAGGTTGTTGACTTCCTGGACGTGGCTCTGTTGGCTGGTTTGGTGCGTCTGCTGCAGCTCTTTCTGACTAGTGAGGTTCTGCTGCAGGGCGTCTTTAGCCTGCTGCAGCTCCCTCTGAAGCTGCTGAATCTGGTTCTGACGAGCCAGAGTTTGAGACTGAGCTGATTTGAACTGGTTCTGTACCTTTACATCAGAAATGAGAAGGTTAAGTTGGTGATTGTGGGTCTGTTGTCAGGATCAGTGGAATAATTAGATTTTTTACACATGACCAAAGTGTTGAAAACCTCAGTTGTCAAGTGTTGCTGTGTTCCTGGCAGGACTTCTTACCTGCTGGGTGTGGCTCTTGGCTTGTTGCAGCTCTTTCTGACTCTGGGTCAGCTGGTTCTGATTCTGCTGTAGTTGAGTCTGAGTTTGGGACAACTGGGACTGGACCTGTAGAAGCAAAGAGGTGACAGTGGATGCAGTGATTTCTGCCTTTCTGATGGATTTTACTGACTCAGCAAATCTACATGGAGAAGATCCAAAATTTGAGTTTTTCCTTCCATCTTTAAATACAGATTTGCTGGTAGCTTTGTTGTTAACTTTATTGTGTTGTACCTGTGTCAGCTGGGTCTGGTTCTGCGTCAGCTGGTTTTGCACTTCCTGTAACTTTTCCTTGGTCTGCTGGTTTTCTTTCTGGGCTGCCTCCAACTCTTGCTGAGACTTCTGAGTCTGTTGGAATAAATCAACTTACTGACAACTTCCCCCCTTGGTTTACCCTTAAAGCTGCTGCATACGGCATTAATAAGCACTGGAAGTTGGTGGAGCAACAGCATCTCAAACCGAAACAAACTTGTGCTTCAGTTACGTTTGGATAATTTGTTAACTGCTCCCGTGTTGTATATTAGGAAAATCTGAGGACTTGTGCTGAGTAGCTTCATGCATTTAGTGTCTGAAAATAGTTTTGTTTATGAAGCATAGCATGTTGAGGTAATAAATGCTTGAAATATTTTCCTGCTCACCTCCTCCTGTTTTTTCTGCATCTCCACTTTCAGTTTCTTCAGCTCCTCCAGGGTCTTGTTGAGCTCCTCCTGGGCTTTGTTCAGCTCCTGCTGCACCTCCTGACTCGGAGCCGCCTCACTTCTTGTTTTAGCAGCTGTTTCTTCAACCAGCTGGAACACAGACAAATACTCATTGTGGTTTTCATCTAAGATCAAGACTCTATCGGTCCAAACTGTTTCCACAACTGCGGTCACACCTTGTCATGCTGGACTTTAAGCTCCTCATACTGGGTCTTGTACCGTCGTCCGATCTTCTTCACCTGGGCGATGGTCTTGTTCTTCTCCACAATGTCGTTGGTTTTTGTTTCCAGGTCTTTTTTCAGAGTGTCTCTCTCTGACGTCAGACGGGCCACGTTGTCTCTGAGGGTTTGCAGCTGAGACTGAGCTGAATTACTGCTGGCATTGGACCTGTTTGGCACATAAATCATGTCTGTTAGTTGATTTTTATAGTGTGCATCTGTTGCTGAGCAGACAGGCTGCTGAAGATTCTGTTCTGGTCATTTTAGCAGCAAGATTACAAAAGTCAGGTACAAACCGCAGAGTATAAATTAGACTATGGAATACCAAGGCGGTCTCTAAGTGATCAGTATCGGCAAGTACCTAGTCTCATTGTTTCTGGTTTATATCCTTTGTTACACATGTTTAAATTTCAATAAATTAGTTAACATGTGCAGCAAAGTCAATTAATAAATGATTAATTAACATAAATTTACTTCACCTTTTACTGGTTATGCACTGGTAATGCTGGCAAAGTTGCAGTGAGATATAGAAGTGTCCTCCTACGTGACTGAATACATGTGCACTGGTCAGAGGTCATTAAACCTCACAGAAGACTTTATCATTGTGCCCCTTTACAAGTTCAATCCCCACAATGCTCTCTGCCTGTCAAAACAGAAGTGACCTCCTCCTCAAGTTGCTGCAGTATTCATCAGTAAGAGACTCCACCTGGTGGCACAACCAGGTACTTAACTTAATCTAAAATACTCAAAGTGTACATTATCAAGGAAAATGGCATTGTGTATAGTCAAATACTAAATAATAAATGACTTAGTTTGGATCAGGGGAAAAAAAGTCTATCAAAAACTTGATCAGGACATCTCTAAACTATACCCAAGAAACATACAGGAAGCATCTCGGCTCAGCTCATTTGAACTAATTCTACATTTTGCTTTTTAGCATCTGAGCGGTTGCAACCTTCATGAAGTGTGATGGTGTGTGTTCTACCTGGCCAGTTCAGTCTTCAGCTTGGCTGTCTCTTCGACTAGCTGCGTGATGCGTCGCTGCTGAGCTTCTCTCTCAGTGGTGAGTTTCTGTTTCTCCTCAATATCACCGTCTTTGTGTTGGCTAACCAGTTGCTGTAGCGGGACACACGTTCAAGTTTAGACTTAAAGGAATAGGTGTTGAAGATAAAATTGTGACAAACTGGAACATGAGCTGTACCAAACACAACATAATAATAATACATAATACAACATAATACATGGGCATTATGCAAAAAACTGTAAGAAAGTAATAAAGCATTGACACACATGCTGGTGTTCAGACTCTCATCCTCCTACATATAGTGCAGTTACCTGTACTTTGGCCTTCAACCGTTTGACATCTTCCTCCAGAAGCCTCCTATCAGCCTGCAGGGCGCCATTTTGCTCTGACAGCACAGACAGCGAGTGATGCAGTGGGCTGATGTCTGACTGCAGCTTTGTTACCTGATAGGAACACAGAGGGACATGAAGTTGTCAAGTTTCACAAAGGTATAAGACTAGCTGCAGTTGAACTCAGTGCTCATTGATAGTGGTACAGTGGGGATTAATACATTTGGATGCATGAAAATACCCGATCTCACCTTCGAACTTACCTGAGGAACATCCTGATCTTGAAACTACTCAATGTTTTGTGCTTAAACTGCTGTAGTATTTACAGTACTACAGATGCACTGATATAGAATTCCAAGGTCAAAAACAATAACCAATAATTATGTTTGTTGGAGTTGTTACTGATACAACTGATAACGGGGAAATAATATAAAATTTGCTGTGAGTTTATGTTGTATTTGTTCAACCGGTGTTCAAGAAATTGCTGCCATATTTTTATATTTAGGAAACAGGCAAAATACAACCTAAAGTCCTCTGCTGTGAAGAAACGACTGAGATGCAATAGTCACCACAGGTTTCTTGTGGCTCCCTGAGTCCGGTTATAAAATGTCATCACTTCATAATTTTATCCCATAAGACATTTATGTAAAATTGTACCATAATGAGCCTCATGAATTCTTGGCCTAAAAAGTCTCTTAAGAGATCACAGTGACCTTTGACAACACAGAGAATGTACCAAATGTAAGGAAATTTGCTTCAGGTGTTCCTGTAATTTCACGTTCACTAGAATGGGACAGAAGTATAAAAATGGATGGATTCTAGCCAAGTTCTAAGCTTTAAAAGTAGCTACAGCAAACAATTAGACGACAGCATAACAAACAGTGACACCCAAGGTTTTGATCTTACTTTAGCCTGAGCTTGCTGCAGCTCCTGCTCCAGTTTGTTTCTGTCCACTTTCAGCATCCTGTTGGTTTCTTGGAGAGCACTGATGCTCTCCATCTTCTTTAGCTGTTCTTCCTGCTGGGCTAGAGTCTTTGCTGAGGTCTGAGAGAAGGAAGGAGGGAAACAGACTAATTACAATGTTTTGCTTGATTTAGCCTCAAGTTAGCTTGCTTGGTTGTGCAGGTTGTAGCTCAGCAGCTGTTTTGAGTTTCACAATCTGAAAGAGATTCTCTGGAGTCCCTCAGCAAATAGTAGGTTTACAATTGACTTTTAATGCAAATGGAATAACAACAATCTATGACTAGCAGCCTTCAAAAAGCTGTAAGTTTCAGAAGAAAAAGCGAGAAACCATGATGTGACTTTGTGAAAGAAAAGTTCTGTGAGCTACGCTGAAGTCCAACAAAATCAAGTTGAAAAAGAAGTTGAACCCCCTCCTGTTTTTCATTCCTGTTTCTCATACCTGCATCTTCTCCCTCTCAGCATTCAGACATTCCTGTAGCTCCTTCAGTTCTCTGTCTTGGTGTTCAACTCGCTGTTTGTAGCGAAGAGCTTCTCCGTCAGACGCATCACATCGAGCCACAGCGATCTCCTTCTCCTGCCGCACAAACCTTCATCACAAACGCACAGTTTCAACTCAGTTAAACTGCAATGATCCCTTTGAATAAAGATTTTACTTGACAGTGTTTACATATTATTGTATTTTTAAACAAAACTGTCTGCTCTCTGTGCCAACAATCTGGAGACAATCTTACAAATATTCATGCAAACATTTTTGTGTTGCAGTATTACCTAAGTATTTCTAGTATCTGTTCGGTGGTCTTTCCTTCCTCGCTGAATGACAGGTCAAGCTGCTGCTGCGGTTGCAGCTGGCGACTCTTAGCAGCCATGTCATCCATCTGTTTGTGAAGAAGACCATTCTGCTTTCCCAGCTCCTCAGAGCGACGGGTCTGATTGGACAGATTCTCCTGAAGAAGAGTGACAGTAAAGATTTTCATGACCAATCAGAACCACAATCATCTAATTTATATTACACTTTAAATAATTTTAATTAATGTGGCATAAGTTTGACAGCAGAATTTACAGATCGCTATTTCTCTCTTTTGCGCTCTTGGATTAGGCGTCCTACCTTCAGCTGTTTCTCCACGGTGTTCCAGGCTGCAGTTTTTTCTTGCAGGAGGGAGGAGGTTTTTTTCAGATCCTCCTCCAACTCTCTCTTCTGTGTTGCTTCTTGTTGGGATCTTTTTTTGAGCTCCTGCAGAGCCTCCACATCGGCAGCATGAAGCATTAGCTCTCGCTCATACTTCGCCTGTGCCTCTCCAGCTAGTTTGGTCTGAGAGGAGAAAAGAATTCACTTAAATGTAGCGATCTGACTGTTGGTGAAAAGCTGAATTCATGACACATGGTGGGGACTGTGGAAATTCACTAGTGCAAAAGTGTGTGTGTATGTCAATGAACCTGCAGCAGGCTGTCCTGTATGGCCTTCTGCTCCAGTGTGACAGCGGCAGCAGCCCTCTCTAGCGCCTCCTGCTGCTCGGCCTGACTGGCCTTCAGACTGCGCTGCAGCTCAGACACCTGATGAACACAGGAAGGAAAATCAGTACAGAAATATCAACTAAGTGCATTTCATTGACTTATTTAGTCAGTGATTTAATTTAATTTCTGATTTTATCTTGGGAATATGTAGTAGGACGTAGAATTAATCTTGTAATTTTTTCCTCTGTGAGTAACACTGAGAGAAACAGACATCACAATTTTACAGAACCCAAGATGACGGCTTCAAATTGCTTATTTAGTCTCACCAAAAGTCTTAAACCCAGCAGGATTACATTTACATTAATGATACAAAAATCTGCAAGGGGACACCCTGGACAGGTCACCAGGGCTACACTTAGAGACAAACAACCAAGCACACTCACATTCACACCTACGGACACTTTAGAATCACCAATTAACCTCAACATGTTTTTGGACTGTGGGAACCCGGAGAGAGCAGAAAGATCCCAGACTTCCTAACCGGGAAGTGAACCAGGGATCTTCTGGCTGGGAGGCTACAGTGCTAACCACCGAGCCACCTTACAGTCTTGACTGACAATGACCATGTGGAAGTCTTACCTGTTTCTCCACCGCGTCCACAGCCTTCCTCCTCTCCTCTTGCTCCTGTTGTTTCATTTTCTCCACGTCTAAAATTCTCTTTTCTAGCTGCTTCTGCATCTCCGCCGACTCTTTCAACCGGACTTCCAGAGGGGAACGCATCTAAAAAACAGATACAGGTCAGCATGTCTTTGCGTGTGTGTGTGTAGAGGTGTGTATGGGCTGCAAAAAGGAGCAGATAATGTTTATAAATGAAAGCAAGTAATCATACCTCCTTTTCTTTCTTCAGACTGTCTTCCAGAGTCAGCACCACAGCCCTGTACTGCTCTACATTAGCACTAGCATTCTTCAGCTGCTCTGCTAGTTCACTGTTCTGTTCCTCAGCACTACGCAGGAGACCTTTCACCTCTGACAGCTCCTGCTCTAATTGGTTGGGCTGCTGGGTGTTTGCTGGTACTGGAGAGTGTACTGTAGGCGACGAGAGAACAGTTAGAAAACACTCACCGTCACAGCAAAATCATTACTGATTCTTCCTCGCCACATTACAGACACGCTGTAATATCTCTGCCCGTCGATAGAAGTGCTGTTTACCTCTCAGTGGTGCTCTCATGCCTGCAGCTCTGGTCACTGGGGTGGTCGTGGTGCTGGAGGTGGTAACAGCTTCAGAGGAGGAAGCAGAAGCCAGCTGAGTTTTCAGTGTAGCCACCTGCTGTTCAGAGCTACGCAGCAGCTCCCTGGTCTTCTGCTGCAGAGTGTTCTGGGTCTCCAGCTGCTTCTTAGCTTCTAACAACTGAGCCTGCAATGGAGGTAAAAGGAACAGGGGAATAAGAGGAGTAACAGGCAAAATTATAACCCCACAACTAGTCTGATCCATCCTTACTGTGCCAAACAACACTTAGTTATGGAAAAATACTCAAAAGTACTTTACGTACATCCATAGTGCGCCCAAGCGTATGTCTCTGTGCAATTTCTTGGTCCAGTCTGGTCTTCATTGAGGCCAGTTCTGCCTCCAGTTTCTCTATTTTGTTGTTCAGTCGTTGACGAGTGCCCGTCTCTGTACGCTCCATAGTCAACTAGACAAATTGGATGTTAAGGGAAAAAAATAAATTTCAGACAAAAAATGATGTCGACCTTACAGATGGATTGACTGATACTGTTCATGTGACCAGCAAAGTAACTGCTGCTGACAAAAACCCAAGTAGTAAGATTGTGATACTACAAGTAAGCAAACGCTACACTCTGGTTTGACTGCCGATGTGGATGATTTCATCATGACACTGCAGGACTTAAACTAACAGAGCAAATTACTTAATACAACAAATAAAAAATAGAAGTAGGCTGTTTCAGTTATTTAACTGATGTTAAAAGGAACAAATTAAACACATTGACAAGTCTGTATTTTCATTTGTCTACATCCATATCTTTGCATGATTTACAGCTCAAAAACCCCTTTAGTCATCCTTTACTGGGCCTTTACGTAGCATCTCACGGCGGCTTCAGTATGAAACAAGCCGTTTTATTTCTCTTCTCTCTCCTGAGGAATCAACTTTGTTCTACTTAGTCATAAAGCTGCCCGTCTGAAGACTTTGCCAGCTCCATGGGCTCATTTTTTCCCTGCTCTTTACTCAAAATGTCAACTTCTGACATACATCACTACATGTTTGATCCTGTACTTGATCTGAAATATGTCAGTGGACAATGGCAACAAGCCAGTGGACAACCTGAGCAACCACTGCTTTGGAACAGACTGCTGTATGTGCATATTTGCAAACTATTGGACACCTGATGGTCACCTCAAGTTCTGGACATCTGACAATGAATAACATAGATTTGTGGCATCCCAACAGTGTATAAATTACAGCAAATCACAGGAAGCATGTTTCCTTTAAAACCCTGTTGGTACGATATAGTACCTGCATCGTCTTGAGGTTGGTGAGCAGCAGGTTCTGGTTACGTTGCTCAGCCATCATGGCTTCTTTCTCCCGACTGAGGCGACTCTCTGCTTGTCTCAACATGTCTCTCTCTTTAGTCAGGTTTTCCACACGCACCTGCAGACAAAGAGGAGGGAAATTGAAGAAGAGATAATAATTAGGAAGAAACCAGAAAAGAACCAAAATGTGAAACAAGGTCAAAAAGTATGTTTTTTTTTTTTTTTTTAGTAGATAACTTTGCTAAAAGAGATTGTGCTTGTGTCCCTTTCAGTCGAGAGATACAAAGGTGTATGTCCTGATATCTTTCTAGCTGTCCTTATCTCCTTTGTTCTTCCTCCTCACCTCTTCCAGCGCCAGTTTCTCACTGGACTGCCTCAGGTCCTGGCTCATTGTGTGGATGATGTGCTCGTGTCGTTGAGCTGTTGCAGCCATTTTTTGGTTCCTCTCCTGGAGGGCAGCGATCTCTCTGCGGTAGGCTGATACAGTCTCCTGGAGCATCTCATACCTGACGTACAAAGGCACAGGAACACACAACAAACGCACACAGAGTTACGTCACAGATGATAACAAACACCTTTACAACATGATGCAAAAAAGCTTTTCCTACACAAATGAGAATCCTTCACATTGCTTCTGTGTAACTTTAACACACCTCTTGTTGCTGAAGTCCAGCTGGGAGGTGAGCTTGGCCTGGCTGGAGCGGAGTTCGGTCAGCTGCTTCTGTAGCCGGTCGTTTGTTTCATTCAGCATCCTGTCGTTCTCTGCCTTCTCCTTCTTATACAGAGTGAAGGCATCGTTGATCTGGAAATACACATCCATTTAAAACAGCTACCGAATTTGGTTTCCCACTCTCACCCATTGTATAGGCACAGGAGGAGAAATGGAGCATTTGTAACAGAACTTGTATGTCTTAGTGTTTGCACTGTATTTTCATGCTAACACTTGGTATGTTACTCTTGCACATTTCAACTGCGTGCTCTCTCTTGTGAAGGTTTGTCTCTCATCCTCTCTTGTTTGCATCAACTTGACCCTGATGTCTTAGACTGCAACAGAGACCTTATCATGTCTCTGGAAGATTCACAAAATAATCCTGTGGAGGCCTAGAAGTGCCTCACTAGTGGAGCGGTTAGAATAAACCATGACAACTTGACCCCCACCTATTTTTCATTCTGCTGGAAGTGGTACAAGACTAAATGGAACTTTATACCTTTGGCCCTTGTCTTCAACCAGCATGAGTCACGTATGCATAGCATGTTTTGTTGCAATAAATAACTCTGATGGACACTTGTTCTTTGTAGAACTGAACATGCACAACCCTGTATGTACCTGTTTTAAAGCAGCTTTTGTCTGAGCTGTCTGTGCAGACTCTGCAGCAGCTGCTCTCTGAGGAGTAGAGCGAGTAGCTGGAACTGAAGGCCGAACGTGAGCAGGGCTGGAAGAAGAATCTGGACCTGCGGAAACAAAAAAAACGGTCAGTCACACTGACTTTTCACCAAAGGTTGCCATGAAGCTTGCATGCGTGCTTTTATTTTGGCGTCACCTTGAGGAGGCAGGCTGAAGCCGGTGCTCTGCGTCAGCAGCGCCTTGTACATGTCTCTCTGCCTGGCATTGGAGTCTGCCAGCTGTTTCTGCTGGTTCCTCTGCTCTTTAAACTGCTCCAGCTCCTTCTGAAGTTTACCAACGGTGGACTCCAACTCTGTTATGCTGGAGGGAACCAGAGACACAGAGCCATATTCAAAACACATGCAAATACATTTCAAAAAGCTTATTTGCTCATTAGTGTGCTGCATCACTTGTCTCACTTTTGCTATAGCTTATAGCATGACCAATGAAAGACACCAAGCTGTAGGTAGACTTATTGCTCGAACCTCTGGTAAGGCATCTCTGGCTGTTGTTGTTAAAGTCAGTTCATAGGTATTTACTAAAAACTGTGGTATGTGAAAACTCAAATCAGCAGTACATTATTAAATGACAAAGTGAAATAAATTTGGTGTGTTACTGTGTAAAATCTGTAGTATAACTATGGTACAAATGAAGCAGTTTTTCAGCTGTTAAAAAAAAAAACTAAAATCACACACTTTAAACAAGGATTGTAATGTTAATTGATTGGGAGGGAAAAACATTTTTTTAAATAGAAAATGTGTTCATTTACCCCTACGGAGTATGTAAAGCTTCATACCATGTCTGCACTCTGTCTCTACACACAGTAAAGTGTTAAATGTAGGTTACCTGCCTGTTAGAAATGCTCTGTGTCCACTTTACAAAGACTGTTGCTGCATGTGTCTACATCCACGGCTCATTATTTACTAAAAGCATCGTTGGCTAGCAGGCTATGTAGATATACCAACAAAGGTAAATGAAGTGAAGCAAGAGCTCCTCTTACCGTGCTGATGTTACTTGGCTCTGCTGTTTGTCCTTTTCCTCCTCCAGCTCCCTCAACCTTCCCAGCAGGGTCTGGTTCTGCCTCTGGAGCTCCTCCACGCTGCGGAAGGACAGCTGGTGACGGCTGGTGACCTCAGAGGTGCTGGAAATGTCGGCGGAGCTGCCGTCGTCCTTGGTCACTCTATTACCTCTGGCTTCCTCCAGCTCAGCCAGAAGAGCACACACCTGGAACAGGGACACATTAATCAGTGAAAACATTTGCACGTTATCTTTATTCAGTGCTTGGATCATTATTACTAGATGAACAATAAATTATCAATACCATATTTATATGTGAGTCAAACAATTTGTTTGGAGAAAATGGAATAACTGCCCCAAAGAATTTCATCTGATAAGACACAATACCTTTGCCAATTGATCGTTGTTTCTCTACCTACTAAATGAATTCTTTTTTATTTAGTTTTTTTTACAAACATATGTACTGGTGTACCTGTGCAGATGTATCCTCTAGCAGTCTCTCAGTCCTCAGTTTTTCTCTCTCCTGGGCATCACAGCGCTGATTGGCCTCTTCTTTCTCTTTCTGCAAATTGTAGATTTCCTAATGGCAAATACAATAAACAGTGTGTAAGTTTCATATAATATAACAAGTGAAAAATAAATAAATGTATTTACAGAACAACTGACACACCGTTCGAGCCTGTTCCAGTTTGTTGCACAGGGAGGACATGGACCTCTGCATGCTCTCGTACTCTTCTCTCTGGCGTTTGAGGACAGGAGCTTTGGACTCCACCTCCTGGACGATCTCATCCAGAACTCGACTAACTCTCCTGGTCTCCTGCTTTTCAAGCTGAAGCTGTGTCTGACACTCGGCATACGCATTGTACAGCTGATAAACAGAGACAGCAGAGGAAGAATTATTACTCGCTAGAAAACAGTATGTACTTGGGTGCACTTCAGTTCGACTTAAGGGCATGCACAGAGTACATATAGTGAAGTTCTGAACAGTGGTTAACAGCATATATCAGTCAATTTCTGATTCAGACTAAGTGGATGTTAATAACTCCTTTGAATGTATCTAACAACTCTCACTCCACTTTTATTTGCTTCATCTGTCCTTTTTCTTCCTGCTGTAGAATTGAGATTATTATAAATGTAGGCATAAATAGAGCTCTCTAGAACCTCACCTACAATTACTGTAAACCTTCTCTACACTACTAAATGACAAGTTGTAATACTGGAGAAATTCAGTCATGCATGTTTGAATCAGAAACCGATTCTGAAGAAGAACAGCGATACAGAAAGCTCCACCCCGGACAGGATTGGTTCTTTAGCTTTGTCACATATGAAACCCCAGAAGTCTGAATTTGTGCTTTTGAATAGTAGTGCTGAATATATCGCTCCTGTCATGTGTCTTCCAGCGACTAAAAAAAACACAAGTCACTGAGATCTTTTTTCCCCTTTCTAATGCTTGGTGTGAATGTTAACTGAAGCTTCTGACCCGCATCTGCAGGATTTTTTGTCTATTGCACTGCTGCTACATACATTGGCTTAAATAGTGGCATTCATAAACAAGTGTTCCTAATAAAGTGTTTCCTAAGTTTATAAGGATATTAGAAAATTTGGTCTTCCTGATAAGTGATCAATCAGCTCTGGTAAACTCACATCAAAGAACTTCATGCCAGGCTTAACAATGGCAGCGATGGCAGCTGCTGACGGACACATGGTTTCCAGTTGTTCCTCAGTCAGAGAAGGTGCACCTGGAGCAGAACATAAATAAGAATATATGTGGTAGGAGTGTGTACAGACATACTCGCGCAACTTTATTAAGAATACAGGTATGAAGGCATGAGTTATGTCAGAAGTGCATTCTCTTACAGCAGTGTTTGCCTGAAGCCTTCATGGTAGCATTTTCCAGCTCCTTATCCATTTTCTTGATCTTCTCTCTCAGCTCAGCCTCCAGTCGCGTCTTTAGCTCTTCACCCTCTGACACCTTCTTCTCAAGAGTCTTATTGGCTGCAAAGACAGTGGCATCAATGACGTTAAGCAAATGGAAAGTTACACTTGACATGCAAAAACAGGCTCCTGAATCAGAGTGAGGCTGTTTCTTCACCTGATCCACTGAACATATTGAGATTATTCACTCACTAATTAACAGTAAGGCCTAAACAGCAAACAATGTTGACAGCAGGACGAGTTTTAGTCACTGATGATCAGCGTTTTAAATTAGAAATGACAGGAAACTATCACCTCTTTATCTGTTGACTTGCACTTCTTCATGTGAGCATTCTGTAAAAAGGTTTACTTAAAGACAACTTAAAGCTGGATTCATACCTTCTCCAGACTCTTTCACCGCCTTGCTGAGCTCCTCCACTGCTCTGCTCAGTTCCTGGTTCTTGGTCTCCATGTCTGTTGCTGCCCCCTACAGGGAGAAAAAAGGTGTGACAGTATTTGACAACAAGCAGGCAGTAACAACAAACTACACGTTTAAAGATAATGCTTCATAATGAAAGCTCCCTGGCATCGATTTTAAATTATTAAAGCACCATTTCTGCTGTGCTTTATTGTGACTCTCACCTTGTAGAGTGACGAGAGCTTGACATGAGCGTTGAGTTCGTTGCGGTATTTCTCTTCCATGGCACTTCGCTCATCTTTTGCCTGGAAAGACATGCAGACCATTTTCAAACAACTACATGTTGTATGTCAATGAATCATTCAGTCAATACAACATCGCAGAGGGGTGAGAAACAACCATGACTCAAGGGTTTCAACCAAACTTTAACTTCATTGATGTACGACAAAGAAAAGTAGCAAATTCTCTTTACGAATGAAAACATATGAGTGTGTTTGTAGCCTCAGTCATGCGTCAGTTTCATCAGTATTTGATTGTTTTTGCGCTTCAAGAAACTTTAAAAGTCCTTGAAATTTTCTACACTGGCGGACTTTCAGGTCTTCAAGCAATAATTAATCTTGCCACAATTTTGAATACTGTGGTAGCTGCGTAAGGCCACAAACCGTTTACCAACAATCCCACCTAATGCTTCACTTAATGTAATAAGAAGGCAAGAACTTAAACCAGTTAAGTTTTTACAATAATCACCCGCTGACTGAAGCTGGTTAACATGATGCTAATAGCGTGCAAAGCTGTCCTCAAGATAAAGAGCAGCTTCTTTGAGGAACTGAAAAATACACAACCTATTCATGCTTTCTCTCTACACACCTTCTTATGTGGTATTTCACAGTTTTTATGTCGTCAGTTTTGTTCAGCAATGTAGGAATTTCTAAATAAGGAAAACGACAACTATGTATATAAATGAGCTTGTGTGTGAAATGTTTGGCACATTGTACACTACCTGCTTCAGTTTGTTGTTGAGGTCTTCCGCTCTTTTATTCTGGCTTTCACTGGTTTGCTTCAGAGAGCTGAGCTGACTTTCCAGTCTGGTTACCTGGTGAAGGACGGATAGAACAGCAGCTTAAACACATATATTATTCCACGGTTATAACTAATGCAGGAGATGGAAGTCAGTTGAGGTGTATCATTGGTATATTTGTGTATTATAAAACAAAATCAGCTTAGTTAAGCATTTATAACTCTGTGTGTTACCTGCTCCTTGCTGCTCTTCAGACTGCCCTTCAGCTCTACTATCTCTTTGCCCTTCTCTCTGCTGGTGCTCAGTAGTTCTTCAGTTTTGGTCTTCAGTTCTGCAGTCAACCACTCGATCTTGTTGTCCAGCAGCTCCTTCTCCTGCTCCATGCGCTTCTCCCGGTACTACAACAAACAACACCGCCAAAACTTATTGCTTCACAATCAAGCCTTTTCTTGAGCTGAGGTGGTTTCCATTAAACCTGGTTTGTACCTGAACAGAAGCTGCAGACGACTGAATTTCATCCAGTTTTAACTGCAGCTCCATCTTGACTTTGTTGGTGTCTGTCAGCTTCTCATTCAGACGCTTCACATCGTCTACAAACACACAACATTTATAAAATCAGAAAAAGAGAAGAGTTGCTGTCAACACTGTAAACAAATGTCTAACAGGTCAACAGACACCTAACTTTCATTATCAGTTTGCAGCGTATCCACATTTGCAGCTTTGTGTGTAAACCCGATATCTTACCAGTAAGATTCTCCACCTCCTGCGTTCTCTTCTCCAGCAGCCTCGCCAGCTCCCTCTTCTCTGCTTCAATCTCATACTTGGTCTTGGTTTGCTGCTGCAACAGACACATTACATACAGTTAACTTACAATCATACGATCCACAGTTTGTACAGAATTAAAGTGGGTTTGTCTGAATCACTCTCATAAGTGGCAATAAATTCTAGCAGACATGCAAATGAATCTGTATATGCTACTTGTGCAATTCTAAAGGTCTATGTGTGCATTACAAAAAGGTCTCATTTCTATTTAAATGCTTATAGTGCAAATTATGATAGACAATTCAACTGTTACAGTGGTTTAACTCAATCTGCATTTTAAAGCAGTCCCTTTAAAGTAAACTATGATCATGGTGACAGAACGAGGCCAGTGGCTTACTGCATTACCAATTAAATGCGCTGTACTCTGAGATGTCTTGAACGAAACTGGTAAATTTGTTAAGTGAGAACTTGAAAATTGTGCACAGAGAAGCAGCAGATATTTCAGACATAATCAAATGGCTGCAGACTAATTACATCAACACAGGTGACTTGTTCTGTGCTAATTGTTATGGTGGTTAACTGCTGTAGGTATTTCAGTTAGGGCTGCATCACGTGTAAAATGTCAACCTTGAGGAAATCACACAACAGCTGTCATCATGGGTGTGTTTACCTGTTGCTGTGGTTTATCTTCAATGGTCTCTCCCTCTATTCCCTTCAGAGTGTTCAGCTCTTCAACTGCACAGAGAGGCATTAGGACATACTTAATCACAAGGTCAGGGAAGGAAAGATGCAGTACCAGACAATGTGTGTTAAATAACAATGCATTCTATTACATTTTAAATTTTAGGTGGTTTCAAACAATTAAAAGTTACAACTAAATTTTTAACTCAACATGATACTGAAGTATTTTGTCCATAGTTTACTGGCCATTGTTTGAAAATATAGAACGGGATTATAATTTTACAAAGAAGACTGAGCAAATACTGAACTATTAACTTAAGGAAAAATGTGTACAAATGTCTGTGATAAGTGTGTGTTTGTGTGCGTGTGTGGGAAAACTCACTGAGTTTTTTATTTTCCTCCTTGAGGGCCTGCAGGTCTCTGGTGGCAGACAGGATCGGTTCCTGACTCTCCGCCAGTCTTTTCTCAATGTCAAAGTACTGCTGTTCTGTTGGGGCACAACATTCAAGAGGAAAGAATGAATGATTGATTTGGACAAGTGTCAAATCCAATATTCAGCATTTTCCAATTATCTGTATTGTTAGTTTTTTTTTTGGTTTTGTTTTTTTTAAGTCATGTCCTAAAAAATAAGTACATTTAACTATGTTCTACTTTTGCTCTGATGCAGCAGCAGCTCTCTATCTGTTGCCACCATTCTGTGAGCAATGTCCCACCACAGCACTCTCTGGGCATCCTGACTCATAGCCTGTCCTATCAATACTGAAGGTTAAAATGTAAACTTTTAATTAAACTTGTGAAACATAGATATCAACATGTGAACAAAGTTTTGTGTTGGAGTTGCTATTTTAAACTGAAAGCAAGATTTTAATTGTCACTGCAAATGTATGTTGGATCCAAACATCAGCAATCCTTCAGTACTAATAATCAGTATCAATATCAAACCAGAAAAAAACAAACATACCATACTAACCCTGGTATACAATAAAATGTGTATAATTCTTGCATTACACAGACATATTAATGACTGTCAATATAACTTTCACTTTCCCTCCCAGTCTGCACAAGTAGATCATTTTAAATGGGAGTATGATGTAAACACAGTGTAGCATGACCTAACTGAACTCCACGCTGTCCTTATTTCAGAATAACCTCAACATATTATTAGGAATTCAGTTGTGTTGCGCTTTACTATGACGAAAACGTTGTGCCAAACTCCACTTAAATTTACACTAATATAGAGTTTTCTAGATTAATATCAATGAAACAGATGTAACACAGAGCATTGCTAGACGAATATTAAAAAATCGTGAATTGTAAATCACTCCGGCATTAATTTAACACATCATACGACATTTGTTTAGATAAAACATGAGGCATGAGAACTGTTTGCTCAACTCTCTTCCGCCAGAGTTAGCTTGAGCGTAAGTTCGTAGCTAAGGTTAGCGGGCGATTGTTAGCGTTGAGAATGACATACACCTATGAACTTTATGCCGAATTTAGCAGAAGAAAGCTTTATATTGGTCTGCAGTTTGCTGCGACGCTTCTATCACTTCTTAGAGGCCAGGCAGGTATCTAATATCGGCTTGGTTGTGGCTACTTACCGCTATCTGCTTTGAACCGCTCATGCTGCGTCTTGAGCGCCTCGTTAGCATTTTGCAGCTCCGAAACAAACTTCTCCAGCTTATTCTGGATGCCTTTCGGGAGCTTGTTCAACTCCGTTCGCTCCAAAGCCTGGAGCAGAACGGCCGCCATCTCCACCTATCCCTCCCGGAAAACAGTAGAGGCCAAACTCTTAAAATAATCTTGAACTATATCCCGTCCGAAAACCCGTTGATATCTAACTAAGAAAGTGTGAAGCCGCACTCATCCCAACGCAGGATGTGGATCCCAAACTTTCAAAATAATGTAATCTTTGGCAAACAGCGAAGGGGAGCAGAGCAGTAGCTTGAATCCCATGGATGCATGTAAATTGTTTGAACTTGAAAAACTGCTTCTTTTTTTATCAGCATGCCTCTTTTATCTCCACAGAAAAAATACAAATCTCGTAAATTCCCTTGATAGGTATATGAACAGCTTTTATTTTCAGTAGAGTATCTTCTTTAATTGCTTTTACGTTAAGTTTGCAATCATCATATCATCATAGTTCACCCACAACCAAAGTGCCAACCCACGTAATGCCCACCGTTTTTAAAACCGTGTTCACAATTAATGACTAGTTGCGGTGGTCGTTAGAAATTCTATTTTGAAGAGAAACCGGCAATGTGTAGTTACTTTTTTGTTAGAGTTACCGAAAACGAACGGCCACTCGTTACGACAAATACATGCGACGGAAATACGTCACTACACAAAGCATTGTGGTAACTTGTGTTTTTTTGCTCTGCTGACGAACCACTGCCAGCTGTCATAATTCAGAGTAAACTGTCTGCCTTCTGGGTCATATTTTTGCCACTGTTTCGCTTCTTCCAGGTATTTTCCCCACGGTATGCGGAAGTTCTTGAATTTGTAGCTGTAGGCTGTTTATAATCGGAACTTTACATATTTTATTTTAGCTATATGTAGCTGGTAAATGTCGGCTAGCTAAAGTTGGAGGAACAGACAGCCCTGAAGCACACTAATCATCTGTGGACTTGTTAGGTTTATTACTTCACTGTGTGTTTGTAGATAACAGTAAAAGTGAAACCAAGAAGCTACAGCATTTACAATCTTCCACACGTCTATTTCCTGACGCTGTCTCATTGCAGGCACACTGATAAAGACATGAATGTTCATTGATTTTGCATCAACTCTTCATCTCTTACTCAGGCAGAATGGGTCGTGGCTATATAGTTGAAGATGCTGTGGAGAAGTATCTGTCTAAACTATGTGAACAACTAGCAGGTCCAGTCACTGGCCTCCTTATTGGACAGGTGAGGTTATACACTAACATCTGTCTTGCACCATGTGTAAGAGTTTGCCATCACTCACTCCACTTACATTCTGATCATACTGTAACTGCACAACAACATGCAAGCTATAGTGTCAAAATGTGTTGAGGATGTGAATTAAATGTGAACAAGTGTCATATAAAGGATTTGTTAAGTGTAATATTTTAGTTTTCATATTTTTATTTACATTATCAATGAGAAAACTATTTGTTTATTTAGTTTATTACCATTCTGTCTTTCAACTGTCAGAAAACAATGACAAACGTACACTTTGTCTGACTAACTGTCCAAAGACACTCTCTCTCAATAGTGTGCTGTGTGTGAGATAAAGAGACAGTAACTAATATTAATCATTAAAAATTTCAGAGCTCAGCCCAAAGGGATTTTGTTGTCATGGCAATTCGAACGCCCCAAAGAGAGGAGTCGACTGCAGCGGCTGGAAACTCTGTCGACAAGGAGTTGGTCACTGAGCACGCCCGACAGGTAGGCAAAGAGGGCCGAGGCTCTGTTACAGTACATACTCATATGAGCACAAAAACACGAGTTAAGATTTACTGTGTGATCACTCAGTGTGTGCAGAGTTTCTAGAACACACTAGGACCTCATATGATGGATAAATATAAACTAAAAAAAAATCAATAACAAAGACATTAACTTGGTTGTAGTAGTTGTAAAATGCACACAAGGACACAACAGAGTCACAAATCTTATAACAGCACAAGATAAGGCTCTCCACACCAGAGTTATAGAGGCAGGGTTCTACCACAGCAGACAGGACCTGAGGTGCAGCTGTGCAAAGATGCCCCTAAGAAAGCACAAAGCAGAAGATTATCAGATACAAGCTGGGGCAGCTTACACTGAGAGGTGCAACCAAGTGGGTGGGAGAACATACAGGAACATCTGTGCTAAGTGAGGGGTAGAACTCCTCGAGTCCAAATGGGACAAAACAGTGAAGGTGGTGCAGAAAAACAGGGCTAAGATGGATAGGACTACAAATTCCAGACTGACAAGCAGCTGCTGGATCACTAACCGGACATAGTGAACAGTCAACAAGCAGCAGAGGAGGGCAGTTGTGATAGATTTGGTAATCCCAGCTGACAGGAACACTAGGAAGAAGGAGCATGAGAAGATTTAGAAGTACCTGAAAGAGCAGCTGCAACAGATGTGGAAGGTGCAGTCTGCAGTGGTCCCAGTAGTAACAGGAGCATTCAGGTCTGTCATCCCCAAACTGGGAGAAAGGCTCTAGCAGATTCCAGGTGCAACATCTGAGGTCTCTTCTGTGTGGAATAGTGTCATCCTAGAAACAGCTGAGATACTGTACAAAACCTTCAAATGCAGAGAGACTTTGAAACCTTTCTGGAGTGTACAGTTTATATGTGTTACTGGTTTCCAGGTGTCCAGGATGCTGCCCGGGGGCCTGTCTGTATTAGGAGTCTTCATCATCACTGATACAGATGCCAAGGACACACTGACCACACTCCGACAGGTGAGTCGTGTCAACACACTCTTAAAAAAAGCACCCTTACAACATCCTCAATCAGTGGTGATGTGTGTTTAAGCCCAATAACTACTATCTGATCACACCCTCAGTCAGTTCCAGTCATTTCCCAAAGCACGCAGCCACGTTTTAGTTTTTGTAATATTTTGCAGAATGGTTAGACTTTTCAAAATGAACAGCTGATTAAAATTCAGTGGTTCACCTGCAAAAAGACACGCTTATAACTCAAAGTAAAGATGATTTGGCTTGTTTGGATCGCATTATTTTGACATGTGTTGCACCATCTGTTAGTTCTAGAGGCTGCCATTCTGTTTGAACCAGTGATGTAGCAGCAACGTCTTCTACTCGTTTCCCCTGTCTCTTTCTCTGCTGCTCACGTCAGCACCATCTCCTCCTCAGTGTGCTATTCCTAAAACCTCTACTCTAAACCGTCATTCTGTATAAAGTGATATTGACTTCTAATCAGAACTCTTCTTCATCATATTCTGTCTCTGATTCATTAAATGCCATTTTTTTCGTGAGACTTTCTGAGTCTTTGCAAAAAAATCTTTGTAGACCAGCCAGTACAACTCAATAAGATACTACATTAATGTCATAGTTATTTGTGCTTTCTGTTGAGTTTTAAGCCTTTGAATGCTGTATGGTAGGAGGAACAATGCAGTTAAATATTGCCGTTCTACTTGCGTGAATTTGAATGTATGAATTGTAAGCACACAGAATTTTGTGAAGGCATTTTTAAAGGTAAGGACCTTAAAAGCAAGATAATCCATTTTTGGCCACTAGGGGGCAGACAAGTCTAATAAGCAGCTGAGGGATACACAGCCATACCATATCCTTTACATTGTTTTGACTAATGTGTTCCCCAACCGCTGCCTGTTTATACATCCAGCAGATTCAGAGCAACGTTAGCAATCATTTGGAGTCCAATAGTCACTTTTTGTTTACTGGTACATTAAATAAATGCTTTATCTAGAGCAGCGGTTGAGGTATGAAGCTCTGGAAGGACATGTAGACATCAGTGTGTTCTATCTATCTGATCCCAGTGTGTGTTTGTGTGTGTGGGTAGCTGGTGTTTGCAGTGGAGAACCTGATCTCCTCGGAGCACCTGTGGAACCCTGCAGACGACGACGTCACAGACTGCGTCACGCTGCACGTCAACCCCAAAACCAGAAAGTATCCTTTTCCACAGCCTTGTCCTTGTCAGGTAGCTGCCAGATACTGTGTGAAGATGTTCTTTAACCCGACACAACAGAACCGTTTGCAGAACCTTCGACGTCAAAGACCCCAAGGTTAGTTTGTGACGTTCATTTCATATTGCCTTCAGAAAACACCTTCTAAGTGCCTTATGGCTTCTAACCCTTATTTTAAAAATTGCATTTGACATTTTTCTCATTGAAATAATCACAGCAAAGGAAAACTGGTATGTTCTGAGGTAATAAATATTCAGCCCTTTTAGAGAAGTACTCCTAAGATCTATTTAAATTCTGAATATAGGATCTGATAATTGTCCAGGCTAATGATCAGTCAATAGCATTACTTCACTGTATCTTTATAGAGCTGATAGTTGCTTGCTGCTATGTAAAGGTTGTATTTATGTTCAAAATCTCATATTTAAAGAATCCTCGACTTGATGTGATGTTCAGATCCACATATGCAGTGTTGAGCTGTTGTCAGTCACATCAGCGTCCTTGTCTGTTGCAGAGCACGGCTAAACCTGCAGACTGGAGGTACCAGTCAGGTGTGTGTTCCTCCTGGGCCACGGTGTCATGCTGTCTAAACGTAAACCTGTCAGTGCCTCTACCAGACAACAAAACCAGTACAGAAAGCATGGATGAATGTCTCAAGGTTAGCGCACACACATGCAATCACACACACACTCTTATGCATAAATCCGTCTGTGAGAACTCCAGCTGAACTGTTTTATTATCACTCTGTGTTTCAGGAGGGACTGACAGTGTGGGCACACCAGATTGAGAGCGGAGTTTGTCTGATTGATGGAAAAAAGCTGCCTGAGGACTCAGAGCTCACAGCAGGACAGGTTGTATGAATAAAGCACATTGAATCTTTTTTTTTTTTTTTTTTTTTTTTTTTATGGATGGGCTGCAAGGTGGAGCAGTGGTTAGCATCGTTGCCTCACAGCTAGAAGGTCGCCGGTTCGCATCCCGGTGAGGACACCCGAGATCTTTCTGTGTGGAGTTTGCATGTTCTCCCCGTACAGCGTGGGTTCTCGCCGGGTTCTCCAGCTTCCTCCCACACAGTCTAAAAACATGTTGAGGTTAATTGGTGATTCTAAATTGTCTGTAGGTGTGAATGTGAGTGTGCTTGGTTGTCTGTCTCTAAGTGTAGCCCTGTGGTAGACTGGTGACCTGTCCAGGTGTCCCCTGCCTTCACCCTAAGTCACATGGGATAAGCCAGTAAAGTAACTCTCAGTCTTACTATGTGAGTGTTTTAGTCCTATTGTCTTTATATATATAATGATGATATAATGAGTGGAGCCAATGTGCAGGAATGAATGTGAGACGCTGGATAAATACAGACCTTGACCTTCTCTGGGCTGAAAGAGGTTAAAAAAACATCTCCACCATAGACCGCCGTCACAATAACAGATTATCTAGATTGTATCAAAGCCAGAAGTGTAATTCTAACCCACTGTGTTTCTCTGTAGAGGAGGAATGTGAGACAGACGTACACAGCTCAGCTGCTCATCACGCCGGTAAGAGACACACCTTACCCACAAAAGTAAACAAAACCCCATTGTGTTTTTGTAAGATTTTTGGCAAAATAAATCCTCTTAGCTCGAATGAAGCCACTAAATCAAGTTGTGTGAGGGTGCACAAGACTGAGGACGCTGACTCTCTGTGCGTTAGGATGGCCAGAGGTTGACAGATGTGGTCCAGCAGTGTGGAGGCAGTGTGTCGGTCAGAGGAGCGATCCACAGCAGAGCTTTTCTACACAGCAACAAACCCAAAGCAAAGCTAGCAGAGAAGGTAAGGTCTTAATACGGTGGACAAAGTCAAGTGAAAGTGAAGAAGGATTCATCATTTTGTGATTTTAACCTACAGCTGCTGAAGAGGGATGTGGTTTCTACGGTGGCCACGAGGGTTCACATGCTGCTGGAGGAGCTGCTGACATCCGGAGAGCAGGACCAGGGCAGCAGCAGAGACAAACAAAAGACAGGTACAAGTTCAGCAGGGTTTGCTTCACCAATCATTTGCTTCTGGCTGGAGATAGTTGAGGTTGAGGTTCAGGGTTGTGGGTGGGTTCAGGGTCAACCAATCCCAGCAGAGAGGCAGGATTTACACAGTGATAGGAAGAGCTGCAGTAGAAGCTTAACTGTAGGCAGAGGCCTACCTTCCTCTACAAAACACAGTTTACCGAGAATTCCCTACAAGCGCAACAGTGCAGGGTGAACAAGAAATAAAGATTCATGTGGAAAGCGAATATAATTCTGTGAAAATTACGGACCGTGTCCTCTGTATGTGACTGCAGCAGGATCGTTCCAGCTCAAATCATCAAATTTTTTAGAACAGTTTCTGCTCTAACATCTCTAATTGGGCCGACATTTTTATAGCATAAAATATGGATATTTATAAAGATATTTGTGAAATATTAGCGTCAAATGTTAAATATTTTTTGAATTTGTTTTTAAAAAATGCCTGTCGACCTTGTTGAAACTCCACAACTCTTTTCTAGTTGGATTAGATTATCTACCAGTATCCTTCTAAATGTATCTGCTCACTTGTGTTGACTGACATTACATCTTTAAGATTACAAAATAAAAAGGCTGGCTGAAAAAATAGATCTCTGTAGATGTAAACAAGCAGGAAAAATGCAATGAATTACGGCCTTGGAAGGTATTAAAAGTTACTATATGTATCAGGTACTTCCTCTTGCCTGCTAAAGGCTCTAATGTTAGTTATAAAATGTTTTGGTATCTTACTCGTTATTCCAGCCACCCATTTACTGTAGCTTATTCAGGGCCAAGTTTGATTATTTTCAATTCATGCAGTTAATTATAACGTTGGGAGTTACTGTCATATACTGCATGCCAGAAAAAAATGACTTAATAATATATAATTTCCTTTCTACTTTCATACTTCGGCTGGTGTGGTTATGATACTGGTGCTACGTTGCATTATGTGTCAGGATGTATTGTACAAATAAACATCAGCATATGATAAGATGTAAGTTATACAGTTTCTTATTGTACATCCTTTTGTGTTTATCAGTGTCTTTACTGTCACTGTCTATTTGTGTAACCAAATATAGAAAAGAAATGAGTACATCTTATTTCCCTGCTTACTCTACAGCAAGATTCAGCAAGAAATGTTTCAGGTCAAGTCATTTCATTATTATGTTCTTAAACTTGTCTGTGTGTTTTTCTTTCAGAGCAGCTCTGCCTCCCTCGTCGTATCTTTTGTCCTGTGAAAGTCACCGGGCCAGTGTGTGTGAGCGACTACCAGTTCAGTGACGAGGGTTTGCCAGAAGTGATCGACCGGCTGAAGGAGATGCTGGACATCGACGCAGCCGAGGAAGATTTGGACACCAGGCAGGAAGTGGCGGCTGAAGTCATAGAGAGCAACGTTACAGCAGGTGAGTAGTTAACAATGGCTAATGCCTTAAATAATGCCAAACTTAGCTTCTATTTTGACCATATGGTCCATACGCTATAAGGAAGAAAAAAAAGTGTTTTTCTTTGCCAGTTTTAACAGTTTTTTGTTTTTTAATTCGTATTATAATCATTATTAACACTTCACTGTTATTTTACAGATTTTCCCTGTTTTGTTAAATTCCAGATAATAACTAGTAAAATTACAGAATAAGGTGTGAATTAAAATGTTAAGTCTAAAAACACAGGCAAAAACTCAAAACCATTTTTCTATATTTAAATCAGTCAAAAAATATCACCATATGTTAAGGACTGAAAAATGGAGAATTTTTAAAACTGATATTTACAAGTTTACTCTGGTTTGTTGAAGTATAGATAGCATCTAGTAAAATAGAAGAAAAATATTAATTTGCATGTTGACTGTAAAAAAAATAAACCAAGAAAGACCAAAACTGTAGAAAAAAAACCCCATTTGCATCAAGAAACTGTTTTTACAAATTGTAATTATACAATGTGCGACCATAACATTACACCAGTTTGCTGTATTTAAATGAGCTAAAAATATATATTTTATTTTTTTTTCAAAGTAATTTCTGCTATTTTTACCATTTTGACAGCTTTTGAAAATCACTGTATGTCAGTTTTTCTGTGTATTTTTTCTTGCACACTTGCTACTATTTTTTTTTAATGTATGAAATGCATTCATCATATATGTGCTTGTACCAGTCTTTTATCTGTAAACCATCGTGACATTACTAGCTGTCCTTTTTTTCCTCTGCATCTGATGTTAAATTACCTAAATTGCTAGATTATAAAAACGTAAAATTGCATCAACTCTTTCTCATAAAACTATCCTAAATCTATGGATATTCAAATGTTGTTGAAACGTCCACTCTCAGTGAGTGTCTACAGCAGGCTTCGTGTTTTGACATCACACTTGCATCCGATTGGCCCCACACTGGTTGTGAAGTCACAAAATCCTGCTGTTCTTTACACGTGACAAAGTGAGAGGTGAATAAAGCTCCTCCTCCTCCAGCATTTGTGAAAACAAACTCTCGACCCGCATCATTCAAACATTACTGTAGAGTCACTGTTTGCTCTGTCTGAAATCTGTAAAGACAAACATTTCTGTTGTTTAGTGTCACGCTCTGAAAGACTGTATGAGGGAAACACGGCATTGACACTAAACTAGATCACATAACACGGACTGTTTTTTGCTAGAAAAACCATAGTTGTTGGCCGTGTATACACTTAAACCAATCTCAAACTGTTTTTCTATTCCAAGGATTTGAGACAGATAAACATCCCCGTGGCAGCAGTGCACTGGAAAGATAAATCTGCGTACTTGTATCCAGAGTAATGAAGGCCAAAGTAATGTTGACTTCTTATTTCACACCGTGCAGGCATTAGCAATGTAAATGAAATGTGATTTTCACCAGAGGGGATTTTTAAAATACACCACAGAGGAATGATGATAACTAAAGAGCTGTAAGTGCAGCCTGGTGGTAACAAGGTTTGTGCAGCTGATGTGATTTATCTCATTCTCCTTCTAACCAGCTTTGAGCCTCTGAGGTTTTATATTACTGTCGTTTATGAATTGTGTGTTTTGTGTATTTCCAGAGCCCACTGTGGAAACTGTTAAAGCGCCAGAGGCCAAGAAAAACAACTACATCGGTAAAACACCTCACAATCACCGTTAAGGCATATTTAATATTTGTGTTTGTTTTCATTCAATCCTTTTCTCAGCTTGTTGAATTAAACCTGTTGTGATATTATTATTATTATTATTATTATTATTAATAATGTAAGCACCCAATCTGGCAATAAGAACATCAGCTGCTAATACCAGAAATATTTAGCACTTGTTAGTTTGGTACCTACAGAAAAAAACGATGATTCACATGCTTGTGTGAGCACTGATCTGATTCTCGTCCTCTTTCTTGTGTAGGTGTTGCCATGGCTGCTGCTGCCGCTCTCCTTGCCACTGCTGCCTCGATGCTGTACCTCAATGACATCTAAGGAGTGTGCACACACCACAATAAAGTGTTTTGTTTTGAATATGTCTGTCAAGTGTCTGTTTAGATTTCTAAGAGAAAAATCCATAATTAATGAAGTCGTCATGGGAATAGACAGTACAAACACAGCTCCAAACACACACAGCTACATAAATGAACATAAACTAGATTTAACATTTTAACATTAGCCAGAAGTTAAGTTGGTTGCTAAAGTGCTAAAGTTACTGCGTTTATCTCGTTTCTTTTTTTTCAGAAAGTTCAGCTTATCGCGCACCATAAATCAGAACAGCCTGTCCGTGTAGTTTCCCAAGTCCTGATCTTAATTAATATCAAAAATCTTAAAGTGTTGAAGTGAACAATTAATTGAAATATTATCAAAAGTCCAATATCTAAATCACAGGAGCTGCAATTTTTTGATAAAGACAAAATGTGTCACAACAAACCATTATTAATGAAGCATTGTGGTGCTACAGTGACGCCTCAAACTACAAATCATATCCTGTAGGAGTGAGGGAATGGGCTTGTTTGGTGCCGATTGCAGCAAAATCACACTGTGTGGGGAAAAAATGCCAAAATGACCATAACCACTAAAATTGTGACTCATATTTCTACCTTTTTTTTCTTTGTTTTTTGCACATCATTCAGCCTTAGTGTGGCTTTGCAGTCCTAAACAGTGTTGCATTAAAATCAGTAGGGATTGTGGAACCTAACAGTCTATTCATGAAGTGTTTTTTTTCGTGAAGTAAAGAGGAATGGGGAGTGAAAGAGTTATTTTGCTGCAGTGATGTAGAAATGTTCTCAAGACATCACTGCATCACTAATTCCGAATCAGTGGTTTAACCAGAGAGGGCAGCAAAACACTGTTTGAGTCTGAAATCAAGTTACTATTTAAGCTTTGTACTGCAGTGTCAGTGCCAGAATATTATAATCAGAATGGCAAATCAGTCATCTAACAGTAGCCTTTTATGGAGCCCAAGCGTCTGCAAGATCACAACCTGGCCCACAGAACTGTGACAAAGGAGGGAGATACACCATTTACCAAAGTTTAGAAAATGTTCAATTTCGGGCGCCCCTATAGCTCATTTAGTGGAGCAGGCAACGCATAAACGGGTTGTTGTTCCCCAATGCAGCGATCGTGGGTTCGACTCCTGCTCATGACCCTTTGCTACTGGTTTCTCCACATTCTTCTCTCCCCTTTCCTGTCTATCTCTGCTGCTCTTAATAAAGGCAAAAGGCCCAAAAACAAAAAGGAAAATGTTCAATTTCAACATATAAACTCATGGAGCAGAGGAAAAATTAGTTATATAAAATATGAAAGTACAAAGAAAAACTAAAGCTGCACAGCTGAAAGGTCAATGAGACGGGTGTGCCAGGAGCAGCCAACACTTCATAGACTGGGAGCACTGGGCCCAGGTGTTCCCAGTTGGGACCAGATGAACCCTGCTGCACTTTCCAGTCAACAAAGTCACATGCAGACAGAAGGAACTGACAAGAAAATGGAAGCAGTTGCCACAGTGCAGTGGATGTTTCCTCTGTGTGGAGAATAAAATGCACAAGAAGAGGAAGAGAGAAGTGGTCTTTGAGACAGAAAAGAAACCTGGTAGACACATATTTATGTCTGTAAAAGGAGGGGGAAGCATGTAGGACTGCCCTCCCTTCTCTCAGGTGGAGTTTGAACCTGTCAGTTTACCGTGGGTCACTGTTTGACTTGTCCAGAGCTCAAGTGCAATGCACCCAGAGTCCTGCTCAGCCCAGATCCGCTGAGCTTTGACCCTCGGAGAGTGATAACAGCTCTGCCTGCCGGTGCAGCTTATCAACAGGTCGGTCAGAGAAAGGACGACGTTTTAAACTTAAAATCTGTGGTCTGACATCTCTGTTAGGGAGAGGAGGAGGCTCGATAAGGACGGACAGCCTTTAGATAGTTCACTCAGGAGAAGAGACGTCCCGGACAGTGCTTCGGACCTCTGATCCGGAAAACCAGAAGATCTTCACAGAGCATTTGAAAGTTTCTGTTCCTGAAGATGGAGAGAGGCGTCATGTTGAGTAGAGATCTTCCAGACATCGAGGTAGATTAATATTCTTAACTAATAGTGTATGTTTTCTTCTTGCTTTGCCTCTTTTCACAGCTGGATTCTGTTATTTACTGTCTTCATTAGTGAACTGTTTGCACTGATGATACAAAACGACATTGCACATCATGCTACATGGTATCAGCAGCGATATGAGTTATGTGGGAATAAGTACATTTTTATGGCAAGTTTAGTTACACTTTATGGGACCATTTGTTGTTACAACAGTGTTTGGAAAATACCATAGTAGAAAACAGTCTCTGAAAATGAAATCTGTAGAGGAATTTTTACAAGTACAAATGGGGATTTGTGGATTAACCTCCAGCATAGCAGACAGAACGGTAATCTGAGGCAACACAAAGCCTCACACTTTGCACATGACTGACCCAGTGTTGAACCGGTGTAACGGCTCTGATCTTTAATTATGTAAGTTTAAAAGAAAACAGTGAAAAGTTTCGCACCGTGTCTTGCCTTTATGTAGTCCTGAGTCAGTTATTAATTATCTCTCCCTTTAGAAATTCCAAAGACTTGCAGACACAAAACAGTTTTCAGTTGGATTGAAGTGACCTTAAAGGGCACGTGACTATTTTCACTCGTAAGTTTCTCAGCACATCTCAACCTGTGAGAACAGTCAGTCTTCTGTCACTCTGGAGTGAAGTTTCAAAAGTAAGAGATGAAATGATCCTAAATATGTCGTCCTTCTGAATGTAGGATCCCATTTTTTAAAAACAAAAGTCAGGAATAAAAGAATATTTCAGCCTGTCTCTGTCCCATGTGAGTGCCCCACTTACATATAAAGGTAGTAATAAACGGCTGAAGTAGCCTTGTAAGCAACATCAGACACACTGTTTTTTAAAAGTTGTGAAACAAATTGCAATGCATTACTGACAAGCCTTACAACACTCTGACTGCACAAAGCACGCTGATCCGTTCTGTCTTACAGCAAACTAAAGAGACAAGAGAGTGAAACTTAAAAGAGTAAAAATCTATTTCTATTGCACCATTTGAAAACGCAGATCACAATGTGCTTGACAAAAAAACCAAACCAAGGATGACGTAAACAACTGAAAACACATGTAAAAACCAAGTCTGTAAAGATTTTCAACTGCTTTCTAAGAATCCACTTGACTTGAGTTGCAACAATTTAAGATCACGACTTCAGAAACACTGCAACCTTCAGTTTTGAACTTGGGATGAAGAACATCCAATAATCCCTGATCTCAGTCGCTGCTGCAGATAAAAGGTTGTAGAAGTTCACTGATTGATGAAGGTGTTGGGTCATACAGAGCCCTTAAAATCAGAACCAGGAAAGAAACTTGGAAAAAGAGGCAAAAGCTCAGCTTCAATAGTGGACCATCACTTTTCCAAGTGTGCACAGAGATACATGATCATAAATCTACCATCAAATACCAGCAAAACACTGAATGGTACCAAAACCTTTACGTCCTGTCCCAACCAAAGCACTTTTGGACCTGGTTCTGTTGATCAGTTGGCTTCAGTATTAGTAAGATGAGCAGATTTCAGATGTCAGTTGTGCTGACAGAACCTTAAAAAGGCCAGACGGGTTGTTGTTTTCTGAAACATACAACTGCACATACCTGCTCACTATCATCACTTAAACAACCTGCTATTCTGCAATATGGTGCAACAGTAAGGATTAAAAGGGTAGAAAGCCTCGTTGTGTACTTCCAAACATGGTCTTACATAACAAGCCATGTGTTGTAGATAAGAGACATGCAGCACGAGTGGACATGCAGGTGCACGTGTGGAGTTGGATAAAATAAACAGAGAATAAAATTCTCTGTTTGTTCAACACATGTTAAATAACTGCAAGGTGATGTGAAAAAGTGTTAGAATCAGTCCCTCTACATGAGTTGAAAGTAGAAATTAATCTGATGGTACACTATGTGACAATTTGAAAACATCATAGGGTTATTTTAAGAGTAATTATTTTAAGCTGATGATGGCAGTGACATGGCCTGAGATTAAAGTCTCACACAAACCCACACAAGCCCAACACAACTAACAGTGTAGCCTGTTAGAGGGCTGCACACTAACTTGTGAAACTAGAGTTATATCCAGAAACGTCTATTTTTCTGGCAGATCTTTTATGCAAAACCATTTCTCTGCAACTTTTGTTCCTGTACAGAAGCAACGGTGCAGCCACATACGACCAAGTAGTCCTGACCAAGCAAAAGATGTTTAGTGAATTGGTAGCAACTCAAAGATTTCACATTATTGTCACTTAAAAGTCTATAGACAGAATAAAATTCCATTTTTTTTCTGTGCAAATAAAGAATCTGTTGGTGCATTTAACCCTTACATATTGTTTGGGTTAAATTTGACCGGTTTCTGCATCTGACAGCAGTAAAAATATCCAGAACGTCAGTTTTTTAGCCTGATATTTAAAGACTTTTACTAAAGCAACCCAAAATACACAAAAATGAACATATTTTAAACTGTCATAGTTTTGTACAGGTGCTACAAATGTTTGTACATTGAGGCTGTTTTGGGTCAAATGTGACCCGTGTCCAGTGAGATGGATTTCAGATCTACCAGTGTGGGTCAAATCAAGGAAAATGGTGGTTTTAGGGAATCTTGAAACTGTACAGGCCATGTTTTAAGTAATTTTCTTTTTTTAAATTTACATTTGTTAATGTTAAATAGGCTATTTAGACATTCTTAATAGATCTGTAGTTTAAAATTTGGCATAGACACTTGAGGGAATTCTTGACAGGAGTTCTTCACAGTATGGTTCGGGTCAATTTTGACATAAAATATGAGCAGTATGTAGTTGAAGTCTGAGGATAGATGACAGCTGTTGATTTAGTTGAAGCTCCTGTACCGACTCTTACAGACTGTACAGATGAAACTTAAGTGGTACAAACTGCTGATCAGTGCAAGACTGAACCAGAACCTGCAGAAAAAAAGCAAGAAATGAAAGGCTGGACGGACATAGTGTGATGTGTTAACTAT